GTAGCCTCTGGGTGGAGCAGGACGGGTCACAGCAGCAGAGAGTCTTGGAGTGGAGTAGCCTCTGAGTGGAGCAGGACGGGTCACAGCAGCAGAGGTGGAGTAGCCTCTGGGTGGAGCAGGACGGGTCACAGCAGCAGAGGTGGAGTAGCCTCTGGGTGGAGCAGGACGGGTCACAGCAGCAGAGGTGGAGTAGCCTCTGGGTGGAGCAGGACAGGTCACAGCAGCAGAGGTGGAGTAGCCTCTGGGTGGAGCAGGACGGGTCACAGCAGCAGAGGTGGAGTAGCCTCTGGGTGGAGCAGGACAGGTCACAGCAGCAGAGGTGGAGTAGCCTCTGGGTGGAGCAGGACGGGTCACAGCAGCAGAGGTGGAGTAGCCTCTGGGTGGACAGGACAGGTCACAGCAGCAGAGGTGGAGTAGCCTCTGGGTGGAGCAGGACGGGTCACAGCAGCAGAGGTGGAGTAGCCTCTGGGTGGAACAGGACGGGTCACAGCAGCAGAGGTGGAGTAGCCTCTGGGTGGAGCAGGACGGGTCACAGCAGCAGAGGTGGAGTAGCCTCTGGGTGGAGCAGGACGGGTCACAGCAGCAGAGGTGGAGTAGCCTCTGGGTGGAGCAGGACGGGTCACAGCAGCAGAGGTGGAGTAGTCTCTGGGTGGAGCAGGACGGGTCACAGCAGCAGAGGTGGAGTAGCCTCTGGGTGGAGCAGGACAGGTCAAAAGGTGGAGTAGCCGCTTGGTTCGGACCATTTTCTCTGCTCTAGTCCAAAGTAAAATGCTAAATGCTACATTAGCATTTTTCAAAAAGTTAGCATTCCTCCAGTGGATTTTCACCTGATCCACTTGGTTTGGACCATGAATCCTCTCATGAAGGATAAAGATTAATTATAATAATGAGAAGAATTAATGAAGGATATGTGAGTTTCTCTGTGTTTAAGTCTTTCTTTAAAGCACAATCATTCAATACACCTTAAGATATAATGTCAATCATGTATCATCGAATCAGGATTAAATGAGACCAGACCAATCAGAGCTAGTCCTCGCTGATATCAACTGTAGGTTAACGAGAGCTGTTGGACTTCAGGTCAGTGAGTAGTGATAGTGATTCCAATTAGCATGTGATGAATTCATTAGCTTACATTATCCCGGCGTCCTCATGAATAATGAAAATGAAGAGATAATTTGGTTTGAAAAAAAACGTTGAAATATTATGTCATCATTAACCATGTGTCTTGATTAAGCGCTTTAACAATCACGGCCGTAAATGTATATATTAAATACAGAGTCGTGTTCCTGCAAATGTATTTTTGTTCGATCTAAAACGATACAAAACATTTATAAATAAATAATTAATCAATTTTAATTACTGGGAGAAATACAAAATAAACCATTGATTTGATTTGTATTCCTTTTTGTTAGAATGGCATTTCACTTTGCAGACTGCTCTGGATAAATATCTTAAACCCCTGTTGTTCAAAATGGTCCTCTCATTCTTTCACTAGAATAGTAGAAAAAAGTAAAGTTTTGTTCTTTTAGAAAACAGAGGAAAACAGAGAAACCCTGAATCAATTTGTATCTGTGATAATTACTGTTATTGAATATGAGTTTAGAGATATATTTAAAGTTAGGCGGCACGGTGGCTGAGTGGTTAGCACTCTCGCTTCTGGGTTCGAATCGGTCGGATTGCTGGGTGGAGTTTGCATGTTCTCCCCATGCCTGCGTAGGTTTCCTCCGGGTGCTCCGGTTTCCCCTACCACTGAAAACATGTACAATAGTTCAGGGTGAATGAGAGTGTGTTTGTGTGAATGTGGGACGACGGATGGAGATCAGCCCAACGCTACAATCCGGAGAGATGTGTTCATGAACATGTTCTGTCCCCATCAAATAAACAATAAATAAATAATAATAATTACCTAAACGAGTGCAGCTGCTTGGATTGAATCACGACTGGACCAAAGGCCTCAAGGCTCCGTGTCTGGGTTTAATGATGACGAATGATGAAGAGGAGGCCACAGAAAACCTTTTTGTGACTCTACAGTTAACCCTTTACAATAACACATTTCTCTAAAATGCCTTTTATCATGTTTGCAAAGAGACAGATCAAACTCCAAAGCCCACCTGCACCTCCCAGAGCAAATGTACAGGAGGCATATTTCACTGTAGAATAAAGTCATTTGGGGTCAGAATAATTCCCCTTTCACAGCTGATGGAAATGCCACTGGAGATGAGATTTAAGGACCTGTGATAAAGCAAAAAGCTGCAGACAGAAAACACTTGAAATTAACTTTTTAGAAGCGTTTCAATAACAATACATGTTATATTTATGGCGCCTGGGAATATACAAATGCATGTCAAATAGAAGTGGGTTTGTTCTCACTAAAGGGAACAGAAGTGTGACAAAAGGCCAGACATTTTATTTTAATAATCAGAAGACATTTCATGTTTTTCGTGAATCCAAACACCTCCTCTGTCCGTTAGAAGTTTCTAGAACAAAACAGTTGTATACATTAGACAAGTTTCCTGAAGCGCTCTGGTGGATAGCACTCTCGCCTCTCAGCAAGAAGGTCCTGGGTTCGAATCCCGGCTGGACCAGGGCCTTTCTGAGTGGAGTTTGCATGTTCTCCCTGTGTCTGCGTAGGTTTCCTCCGGGTGCTCCGGTTTCCCCTACCACTAAAAACATGTACAATAGTTCTAGCATGCGCCTCCTGTACTGGCCCCGCTCCCATCTCTGTGAGGAGTGAGAGACAAGTGCCCAAAAAATAACAATTGTAAACCGCTTTGTGACTCTGGTCTGTGAAAGGCGCTATATAAATAAAGCTTACTTACTTACTCTGTTTATTTTATGAGACGTTGATGATTTGACGGAATGAGCTGCGGAAGTTTTTTCAGATCCACACCAGATTTTTTTTTTCTCAAGTTTAATTTTTAGAGACAAATGGACGGAAACCATCACGTCCGTTACACATTTATCAAGGGTCATTTTATTTTATTTATTTTTTTACGATTCATCTTTCAAACCAAGTGACTTCCTGATGTTGTGTTCATGTGAATCTTGTGGGAGTTCTTCTTCTGCTTTTTCATACTGAGGACATTTTATTTTCTATGTAACCGGCGTCACAGTAGAACGGTCCAATCAGAGGCTGGTTTGGTCGCCAAAAATATATTTCTAAATCTTTCCTTTTGGTTTTATCCACACTATCTCTTCAATCTGTCTGTGTTTGAAATCTTTTCCCCAATCAATGATAGTGATTTTAGTTTTTGAGTTATAACCTTTTAAAGTCCAAATACTTTAATTGACTCTTTACTGTGAACTCACTCAAGAAACATTTCATAACCTTAAACCTAATTCTAGCAAGTCCGACTGAGGACATGATTGCAAGTGAAAACCTTCAGCAATCACTTCAGAATTGTGCGACCTTAGAGAAGTGCTTTTGTCAATATTGTGCGTCCATATGTTCAGTTACACCCATATTTCTCCTAACGCTCACATCTGCGCCAAGCCACGTACGGCAAACCCACCATGTCCCGGTCGCAGCCACAGCAGGCCACACATTTGGCTACACTTTGTCCTAAGTGTTGTGTTTCCTCTGGTCCACTCTCTCACACTCAGTCACAGTAGTTCTCAGATCTAACCCACTGCGGGGCTGTTATTTCAGCCACATACACCTGGCTCGAGCTCACGCTGCTGCTCCGGTCGCAGCACCTTCTCACTTCATCATGGCTTATTGTGCACGCTTTTCCTCACTCCCCTGGACCCGGCATCGGAAATGAGTTTTAAAGTAGAACCATAAATAAGCTCCAAATATTTTTCGAGCTGGGGGCGCATGCTGCAGTTTATTTGTTTCTATGGAAGGCATCACTTTTTTCACATTAGTCTAATAAACTTGCATCTCATAAGCAGTTTGTTTGTTTAACAGACATTGGTCATGAGGAAGTTGACCTAAAATATCACACATTATGACTTAACCAATGCTGAAGAGCTTTGGGAATGTGTATTATTGACTACTCAGATTAAAATGAGGCACGGTGGCTGAGTGGATAGCACTCTCACCTCTCAGCAAGAAGGTCCTGGGTTCGAATCCCGGTTGGACCAGGGCCTTTCTGAGTGGAGTTTGCATGTTCTCCCCGTGTCTGCGTAGGTTTCCTCCGGGTGCTCCGGTTTCCCCTACCACTAAAAATATGTCCAATAGGTCTGGCACCCCCACTCCCAAAATTGTAAACGGCTTTGAGACTCCGATGTGCAGTGAAAAGGCGGTATATAAATAAAGATTACTTAATTACTTACACTTAAACCTGCCTCTTCTGTAATTAGTCCCAAATCCATTTGAACATTTCGATGTGAGTTTCAATGTTATTTTGCAGTTCGAGTGCACACAGCAGAATGGGGATTCTAGTAGTTTAAATGAATAAGAAAATACCAATGTTGTCTGTGTTACACGTTTTAACAGCCGTTAAGGACGTAACAAAAGTGGACTCGATTGTTACGTCCAAAACGCCCAGTTTGTCCGCAGTTATTGAATAATGTTTTTTTTGCATAATGTAAAATCTATAATTACATATTGATTTTAGTTATATCCCCGACCATTAACCATTAAATAGTCTCCTCTGTCTGTTCATTCTTCCGTTCACAAATCCTCCAACACGACATGTGCTAAATGTAACAATTATGTCCCCAAAGTTCAATAATTTTTTTGAAAGGCATCCATTTTTCTTGAAATAGTTTTAGCTGCAATTCTGAAATTATCCTATGTTTATCTATAGGCTACATAGTGTTAATTTTATTTATTTATTTTATTGTCGCTTGAAGTTAGATCGACCAATGGTACAGTTTACAGTTGTGTGTGTGTGTGCGTGTGCGTGTGCGTGTGTGTGTGTGTGTGTGTGTGTGTGTGTGTGCGTGTGTGTGTGTGTTGTTTTCTGCTCTCCTCTCTGTCCTCTGTTGTAAAACACTCTTTATCTGCATGTATCTGCCGGTGTGATTAATGCCGGTGCCTTCTCTCCCCTCAGACTGCCGTTTGAGCAGGACGTGGAGCAGGGGAACGTGGCCCACCTTGGGGACTGCGATGGTAAGTGCGGCCATCTCCTCCTCTGTCTGCAGGGTACACTCTCCACATCCACACAAACACACTGCTTTCTGCCCAAACATCCACATATGCTAAGCGACGGAAAGTGCTAATACCAGTGCTGTGAGTTTAGTCTGGGCAGATAAACAAATAATCAGTAAAACCGAGTTGGTTCTTTCTGACTTCGTTCAATTGTGTTCGATTCTACCTCCAGCCTTTCTGTGTGGAGGATGTATTCTCTCCCCGTGTTTGCGTAGGGTTTCCTCCACCTCCAAAAACATATTCACTAGTTTCGGAATGAATGAGTGTGTGTTTGCAAGTACAACGGATAAAAACAAGACCAAGTTTTAATCTGGTGTATTTACAGCACTACATTTACACGCTAACGTTCATTAATACACACAGCCCCATTCAAATTAACACCATCCATCCATCTTCTTCCCCTTAATCCATTTCTGGGTCGGGGGGGGTGGCAGTCAGAGATGCACCCATTACACAGAGCACCAGCCCCTCACTGATCCTCCTGCAGGTGCTTAGTCCACAGGAGCTGAGATCTTTCAGTGGGGGCTTCAGGCAAAGTGGGGTTAAGTGTCTTGCCCAAGGACACAACGACAGCAGTCATCAGTGGGAGTCGTGAAGTGGGTCTTATGGTGGACTCAAACCCACAACCTTCAGGCTCAAAGGCCAATGCTCTACCAACTGAGCCACTGTCGCCCCGAAATCAATCATGAATAACTCATAATGTGAAGTCATTTACAAAACACAAATCTAACCATAACAACTTGGGTCATACTGATAAAAAAAATAAAACATCTTAATGGCCATGGTTTCCCAAAAGTGTTGACATGCTATTTTAAAGGTGATATCATTTCAAGTCTATAACACCAACATTCTTACGGGTTACTTTTTTGTGATGACTTTTCTTGACAGTGGCAGTAAAATAAATTGCAGAGCTTTTGTGATCAGATATAAGAGCATTGCAATCATACACAAATGTACTTCAATAATCCCAGTACTTTAAAAAGAATGAAGATATAATCCTTCGGTTGTACGCACATGGATCAGATGGACATGGAGTAGAAGCATGTGTCACATTTTCAGGAAGACTGAATACAGACAGACAATAAAAGACAGAAATAAAACAAATAAAACAGTAAACAAATGTCACTGTGAAATCGATCGACTAAAACAGTTTCAAAACAAGTGCAAATCATTAAAGTGCTCTGTTCACACTGATAACAGCCTGTGGATAAAAACTGTTAGCGTAACGAGATGTCCTGCATCTCAGAGAGCGATATCTTCTGCCAGAGGGAAGAAGCTGGAACATGGCTTTCCCAGGGTGGCCAGAAGAGTCATTAACAATCCTAAGAGCTTTGTTTAAAAGTCTGGATTTATAAAGAACCTCCAGAACAGGAAGCTCACAGCCCATGGTCCTCTCTCTGGTCTCTCTGGTCTCTCTCTGGTCTCTCTCTGGTCTCTCTCTGGTCTCTCTCTGGTCTCTCTCTGGTCTCTCTCTGGTCTCTCTCTGGTCTCTCTCTGGTCTCACAGCCCACGGTCCTCTTTGCAGAGCGGAGCACCTTGTTTAAAGCTCTCTTTTCTTTATCTGTAGAAACCACACAAACACCATGCCTCTAACTAAAGAACATGCTGTATCTGACCAGCTACACGGGCGGTCTCATTATAGCATTTGCATAACTGGTCCAAACAGGTGAGTTTTAGTCGCGATAATGTCTAAATATCGCCCAATATTTATCGTCTGTACATTTTCTCTGCAATAGTAAAGACATGTTTGATGGTTTCTTGGATAAACTCTGAAGTCTGAGTATAAGTGGTTCAGTTTGACAGTTATAAATACAAAATCCCTTTTACTGTCATGGGGTTATACAATAGGCATCAATGGCATCAAGTAGTTTTAATTAGGGCTACGCAATAAATCGAATTTTGGCAAATGAATCGGCTTTTGAAAAAAATCTAATTTGTGAAAAATGTGAAAAATGTGAAAATTGTGAAATCGAATGAAGGATATTGTGAGAGTTCCAGCAGCTCATGAATTATACTTACAATATCAGCACAGACTGTACAAGACTTTTATAATACGTATTGGGGGGGAAAAAATTGAAAATAGTTTTGAAACTTGAATATTGAGCAGAAAGATCGGACAATATTTTTAAGGGCCAAATATATGTTTATCCTGATCATTTCTTAATCATGTGCCAGACCTTTATCCCCACCGCTGTCAGACTGTACAATAAGTCACTAATGCACTAGGACTAAAAAAAACCTGCACCACTGTTTCTTTTATTGCCACTTTTTTACTGTACATACTTATATCCTGCACAAACCATATTCCTAACCTTAAACATGTTGCACACTTAAGTCTTTCGCACAATCTGACTGACTCTATCAATGCCAAATGTGACATGCAAATTTCTCCAGTATGAGATCAATAAAGTCTATCTAATCTCATCTTATCTTCAGAAGCAAAATATCAACCATCAAAATGTGTTCTTGCGTCAATCACACAGCCACGTCCCATTTTGAACTTCTTCTGCTCATCTTGTGTGCAGTGATTTTCTCCACACAAGCTTTTCTCTTTGATCTCAGCTCTAATTCTAATGCGGGAGCTTGTGAAAGTTCAAAAAAGTTCCCAGCATGTGTTTTCCCTGAAAGGAGGACAGATACATACTGCATAAGATTGTTCCGGCTTGACTCTGATCCTGTTTTTGGTCTGAACGCTGCCGTCTGATTGGTCGGCCACAGGGGACCCTCGCAGTCATGGCGAAGATTGTTTGTCTTCATTATAGGAGCATATGTCAAAAGCATATGGACAAAAGGGGAACGACATCTAAAGCCCTTTCATTACCAGCATATTGTGACTAATGGCTTTTCCCTTGGTTGATTCGGTAGAATGACAAAATGTTAGACGGAAGTTAGTTTTCCGGAGCAGACTGTATTAATGCTGGAAGCTTGCCATTAAACTGCCGATTATTTTATCACTGCAATTAGATGTTGACCAAGCACATTGTGTTTGTTTTGCTCTGGGTTTTAATTGTGTTCCTAGAGGCAAACAGCATTGGTTTTGTTTGCCCTTCTTTATCCTCTGTCATTCCTTCACAAACTCTTGATACACTTATACACAGGCTCTGACCAGTTTGCATGGTTTTCTATGGTCATCACGCCTGAGGAACATGCTCCAACTGTCGCCGTCCAAACATTTAAGCAACTCACCTAAAGTAGTAGTAAGTAGTAAGTAATCTTTATTTATATACCGCCTTTTCACTACAGATCTGAGTCTCAAAGCGGTTTACAATTGTTAATTTTTGGGCATTTGTCTCTCACTCCACACAGAGATAGGAGCGGGGTCGCCAGTAGGAGGCGCATGCTAGAACTATTGGACATATTTTTAGTGGTAGGGGAAACCGGAGTACCCGGAGGAAACCTACGCAGACACGGGGAGAACATGCAAACTCCACTCAGAAAGGCCCTGGTCCGACCGGGATTCGAACCCAGGACCTTCTTGCTGAGAGGCGAGAGTGCTATCCACTCAGCCACCGTGCCACCGTGCCGCCCTAAAGTTCTAGGTTTGCGGAGCTTTGAGCTGTGGCTAAAACTGGAGACGCTATTTCGGTTTCAGCTTTTTCTTCTCTCCACCATCTATTCTTTTCATATAATGCAGAAAGGTCCTAATGTCTAATGCCTAGCGTATATCGGACTGGCAACTGATTATATCCGTGGCCTATGAGTGGCTGCCCCGCACACATCGACAATGTGGCGAAAACGGGCAACTCCTGTATCAGGCCAGTCTGAGGAATAACAGCAACTGGCCTCAACTACAGTGTGTTTTCTGACATAAACTGTAGAGGGCGCAATACACGCAAAACACACATGTTGTTGGAGCACATCGAGTGATATCTCCGGATCTGAGGACAACTAGTTGCCGAAAAGTAGAACACGGGCAACTGACTGAATCCGGAGATCGACTGTTTATCTCCAGTTGTAAGAGCGCTCACATCGACCGATTTCAACTGATCATCTCCATCATCTCCTCTCAGTCGCCAAAAGCCGCCTTCAACTAGTCGTCTCCAGTTACTCGGTCCATGTACGCTAGGCTTAAAGTTTGCCGATACTAAGATGATCCATGTGAACTGTATTTATGTATTTGGTTGAATTGAGTTTGAAAAGATACAGAGCACCTTTTTGATGCATGGAATATTGTGGTTTCGGCCAAAGAACATTCGCAGCACTTGTCCCTATGGGCTTGTTACACACAGCAGCCAAATGTATAGTAATGAATAGGTAGAATGTATGAAAACGAGGATTTCTATCTTTGTGAAAAAGGTGTTGGTTTTAGATTTGTTGTTGACAAAACTTTGTATTGAGATATTATGGTCCCAGCTGGATTCGTCTGCATATCTGGCAACCTGAGTCAGGAAGAGTGCAGTACCACTTTTGGCCAGATTTTTACATACTGCTCCTTTCACGAAGAGCCACAGGGATCTCTGTTTATAATTATATAGAGTGTATGAAGTGAATGAATAACAACACGTGAAGCGTCTTAGAGTGTCCAAAAAAGCGCTATGTAAATTAATTTATTATTATTATTATTAACTCATTCACTGCCAGCCATATATAAAGCAGCATCCCTCATACTGCCAGAAAATTTTGATATTTTTAGTGTTTTTTCAAACCTCATATAAATGTGAGCCCTTGGTTGACACAAGTATGAACCAAATGAAAGCTCTGTCTCTTGGCTTTCATTTAAAAAAAAAGTAAGTTTCTAACCCTTTTAGTCTTTTAGTAATTGAGAGTACAACATAGGTAACTTTCACACAATGGAGAAAACAGCCTTTTTGTGAAACGCACATTTTCAAGCAGAAAAGTGTTTGTTTTTCTTTACTGATATTTTACAACGTTTGACAGTTTCTTATTATGACACAAAACCGAAACATCACTTAGAATTGTATTTTTAATGTATAATTATTTTTATAGAAATTAAACGTGTA